GACCCTCAGATTGCGAGTCGAGTGCCTTAACCACCTGGCCATGCCGGGGCCCCGTTCTAATCTTACCGCTGAGTCACTGGTGGAATTTTTTAAAGTAAAAAGCACACGCAGTAACAAAAATGTCGTGAAAAGTAATAAAGAAAATCATAGAATTGATTTAAAAATATTCTCATAACACTTAGCTTATTGATAAGTGTTTATACTTTCTGAAATTATATACTTTTAAAAGTCAGTGAAATATTTCTCTCATATTTCACTCAAACTTCCTGTTCAAGTTCAATATGGTTTTGACGTCACTGATGAATAACTTACACATCGCAACCTATATTATCAAACAATAAAAGATTACTATGTTTTCGACATGGTACATTTCAGTAAAAATGCTGAGGTGTGTGTGTGTAGCGGCAACTAGTAAAGCGTGAAGCGCGAGCTGATGAGTCACGTAACACTTGATCAGATGTCTTCACGTAAAATGACAACAAGATTTTGCATAATTCAAACAGGAAGTTACATCATAGTAACTAAAACTTCCTTAATCCTAAACATTACCTCACAGTTCCTGGTGAGAACGCTATGTCGTTAGGACTGAAAATAAATAAATAAATGTTGTTGTTTCACTGAGTGATAATTTCCCAAACTTAAGAAGCTAAAGATGAGCGAAGTGTAGTAGATCCACGTGAAAAATGTGTGACAGAAGAATGCCGTAAAGAGTCACCCTTGGGGTGATCTACTCTCTGAGACGATAAGAATGAAGTACGTTCAACATGGGGAAATTTGACTAAAGGTACCTGATGATGACAAAACCTTGTCGAAACGTTGTACATTTGCTGTTATGTTAAACTTATATTAAAGTTTTTCTTCATTACCCATTCAAGCCGTCTCCAGCCATTATTAGATTGATTGTTCGTTGAATTTCGCGCATAGATACTTGAGGGCTATCTCCGCTAACCGTCCCTAATTTAGCAGTGTAAGACTAGAGGAAAGGCAGCTAGTCAATCAACACCACCCACCGGCAGCTTTTGAGCTACCCCTTACCAACAAATAGTGGAATTGACCGTCACATATAACACCTTCGCAGCTGAAAGGGCGGGTACTTTTGGTCACGAGATTGGAATCAGTGGCCCACATATTGGTAAACTGATAAGCTAAGAATGTTAGTCAACAGCACTCACCGCCAACCTTGACAGGGTGAGTATTAAAACTCAGTGAGGTCGGAATTAGTCTGATATAAAAGCCCCTCCCTTCCCTGGGAATATTTGAATACTTCTGGCTTTTCTTTAAAATAAAAAAGAATTGAGCTTTGGAATTTCTTCTTGAAGCCAAAAATAAAGACGCATCTCTTTCGTGTCCCAACTAATTTGTAACAAGCTCATTCAATGTTTATAATAAGTTATCCATAAAATAAGTAAACTTCTAATTCTCTTACACGTTCCATAATATTTAATGAAGTCAATCTTATATCTAGTTCGCCATGACGAAATAAAACACAAAACTCTTCTTTCGTCACCAAAAGTTAACCTCATTAATTTATACGACACCAAATATCAGCGGAAATTAAACCTGAATTTTCAGACTTCCCATTCACTTCCGGTGGGATTCGCATATTGAATCATATTGAGCAATTTGATTTTTATATATTTATATATATTTTTTTTTGCTTGTTATAACACACACTCCGCCCCAGAAAAAGAGGGGGTCAAATCACCCATTTTCTGTGTAAATACATAATCGGTCCTATCGGTGGTTATTTGTTTACTTTTTCAAACGCAGACTTCACAATGGGATACATGCAATGCGCTCATATCAGGGATCGAACCCTGAATTTTTTGTTATAAGCCCTCGATCTGACCGCTAAACACTGACTGGTTGGACTACCATGATTCGTGGAAGTATAATACTGACTGTTGTTTCTCAGCGGTACGACAGAGAATTATATTTATTTGGAAAAATTAATAATCTTAAAAGCAAATCAAATTAATCGTTTCACGACAAACATTGTGTATATAATATTAACCGTATACGCGCAACGTTATGTTAAATGTACAAAATTAATTGGGTAAGATTAAGATCTTTCGTAGATGCAAAATTGATTTAGAAGTAGTTTGTGAACTTGATAATATAACACGACGTTTTTAGATATAAATACTAAATATTAAACTAGAAAATATCTGAGGTGATGTATGAATTGAAATGTAATTAGATAGATATAGGTTCAACCTCCAAATTATTAGAAACACGAATAAAGGAACGTGCAAGTTTATTAACGAACGACGAAACTCGTATACGTGATAGCGCGTTTGTTTAATGTGACGTTGTCGTACGTCACTATATGTTTAAAATTCTCGCTAGAGGTCGTGGTGAGAAGAGCTGTACAAAACCGACGTTATTGATTAATTAACAACTGATCGAAATGGGTTCACCAATACTGTTACTAATTAAGTTGTTGGCTAACTTAAATGTTAGATTAAAATTTTGAAACATCAACCAATTTTGGAAATTGAGGAACAAACCCTTGGCCTCAAAGCAAACTGTAAAATTCAAATACCTTAGACACACACACAAAACAACAACAAGGAAATGATATCGTGAACAGATAATAATACATGAATCAAAAGGAAACTGAAAGTAAGCAACTCGAACCAGTGAACTAAGAAAATAAACTAACCCTAATAATAGACAGCTAATATCGTAGTAACGTGATCCAAACCCTAATAATAGACAGCTAATATCGTAGTAACGTGATCTAAACCCTAATAATAGACAGCTAATATCGTAGTAACGTGATCTAAACCCTAATAATAGACAGCTAATATCGTAGTAACGTGATCTAAACCCCAATAATAGACAGCTAATATCGTAGTAACGTGATCTAAACCCTAATAATAGACAGCTAATATCGTAGTAGCGTGATCTAAAACCCTAATAATAGACAGCTTATATCGTAATAACGTGATCTAAACCCTAATAATAGACAGCTAATATCGTAGTAACGTGATCTAAACCCTAATAATAGACAGCTAATATCGTAGTAGCGTGATCTAAACCCTAATAATAGACAGCTTATATCGTAGTAACGTGATCTAAAAACATAACATTTAAAAATGAACAACAAATAACAGCAAGATCTAATGAAAGACAAACTACTAACACGTCATCGACACCAGTCAGGTGTGACGAAGTACACCAGCTATAACATTGTATTGAACATTTTATGTGGGAGTATACCACAGATGGTGTGAGGCTGTAGGTGGTATATGGTGTGAAGCTGTATGTGAGATATTTGTGTGAAGCTATATATAAGGTATGGTGTGAAGCTGTATGTGAGATATTTGTGTGAAGCTGTATATAAGCTATGTTATGTTATGAGATATAGTGTGAACTGTATGTAATATATGGTGTGAAGCTGTGCGTGAGATACGGTATGAAGCTGTATATAAGATACGGCGTGAAGCTTTAAGTAAGATGTGATGCGAGAAGTACCAATCACGTTTACATAAAACACGAATAAACTAGAAGATATCCACTACTTGTAACTCAGTTCTTCTTTGGATTCACTCTTCCATCAGGAAGAACACTTCGTCGTAAACGCGATGACTGACAAATGTTGTTGATGAGTTACTGCCTACGTCCATCTTTTTTCAATGTTAGTTACAACACATACACACACACAAAAAAGAAACTTCTTATTCGGTGCACTACTTGTGGTACGTCACCGACTCTGTTTCCACTCTAGGTGAACAAAGGTCATCGAGAAGAGGTCACCCTATGTTAATATTAAGTGTCTTAACAGAAGTAAGGGCGTGGTTTGTCGTTGGAACCATTGAAGTACGAGAGTGCTTCCTTTCACCATGAAGTACATCCGGGATTACTATCAGCATTCTGTGACGTACAAAGTTCTGGTATCAGACACTGTAGCAAATAATAATAAAACAATTAACAGACGTTTGTGGGTCTTGGAGGAACAAACTTTTAGCGTATAACATTATGTAACAGCAGAGTTCCGTGTGTTTTAAACGATTGTCGGACATTTTTCTTTCCTTCTTTTCGCCTTCATTGGTGCAGCGGTAAGTCCGAGGGTTTCTAATGCTAAACATTGAGTTTCAATACCCGTGGTGGGCTCAGAACACATATAGTCCGTTGTGTAGCTTTGTGCTTAATTACTAAAAAAAAAAAAAAAACTTTCTTTTTTATTTCAATAAAAGGGCCAATTTTTCTCATTGGCTAGCGCGATACTTTTTTTTTCCGGAGAATCTTTTGTAAATATTTTTTTTGAATTCAAAGTCGTTAAGAGCGACGTGTAAATACAAGGTAATAAGACTAAAATAAGTGTAAACAGGCAAGGGAATATCACTGACTGAACAAATAAATAAAGGACAACGCCACTAACACAAATAAATAAACGTTTAAACACAAAGGAATATCATGAATGTAAAATTCGTTAATAAGGAGTAATAAATATCACTAACAAACGTATTAACACAAAACGTATACATGTAAGATAATTGTGTTATTGTTTTTTAAGCTACACAATGGGCTTTCTATAGTGTGCCCACGAGGGGTATCGAACCAGAATTTTGGCGTTATAAACCCTCAAACTTATCGCTGAGCCACCGAGTAGATTGTTATATAACATCAGTAACAGGAACGAATAAACAAGGGGTTATATTGTTAATGGAAATATATACGTGTAAGAAATGAGTGCTGTCCATTGTGGGCATCGAAACCCGAATTTTAGCGTTATAATCCCTCAAACTTACTGATGAGCCATTGGAGAACTTATAAGATTATATCATTAATAGAGATTAGATACAAGCATGAATGAGTAGAATTTATAATGAATAGGAACGTTTCTGTTATCTCTAGGTGAAAGTCACTGATAACGAGAATGTAAAAGTTTCTACAAAAAAAATATTCTGTTTGGACAGATTTCTTAGTCGACTCATGATTTAATGATCACTCAGATGAAACGTGAATTATTTCATTTGTTATTACTGTGTTGTATGTCAAGAACAATAACATAAAATACAACTTAACTTAGACCTATCTATTAACTCAGCCTCCACGTTAGGCCTAGAGGAAACATTAACGTTATAACTATCAAAGTAAATCAAAATCATATATTCACATACGAGACTGGAGAATTCATCCTGAAAGCCATATTTTGGTGTTTATTGACCATAAACTTGACACATTGCCTCACCTTCCTTCATAATTTATTTGGTGTTTATTGGCTATAATACATAAGTGTGACACATTATCTTATCTTCCTTCCTTTGTAATCGAGATAAATGATTACATTTTTTATCTAAACTTTTACTAGAATTCTTTGTTTTATATTATATATAAATAAAACCTTCGATTTTCCACTTCTCGAATAATCATTAAACTTCAAGCACCAGTAACCTTTTTTTTTATATTCAGTGTTGATTCTTATTTTTTAAATTGGATCGGAATGGGTATGAATGAAGCTCTTTTTGGATCACAAATAAACGTTAATTCTAAGAGTCGTCATTACCTTTGTATCAATGTACATTGTATCAACTAATCTTTTAATGATTGTAACACCGTATCTCACGTGTAGAATAAAACAAAATATATTGATACAGACTGTACTAAAGCCAAAATAATGCTTGCGTTATACAACAAAGTACAACATATGGTTTCCACTTTTGGAAAATATGCCGTTACTTAACATGTGCATTATTACAGTAACTCCACAATTATTAAACTGTGTCATATAATACATTTACAATAGTGAAGATTGTTTGTTTGTTTGTTATGGATTTCGCGCAAAGCTGCGCGAGGGCTATCTGCGCTAGCCGTCCCTAATTTAGCAGTATAAGACTAGAGCGAAAGGCAGCTAGTCATCACCACCCACCGCCAACTCTTGGGCTACTCTTTTACAAACGAATAGTGGGATTGACCGTCACATTATAACGCCCCCACGGCTGAAAGGGCGAGCATGTTTGGTGTGAGAGGGATTCGAACCCGCGACACGCAGATTGCGAGTCGATTGCCTTAACCACCTGACCATGACGGGCCTTTCACGTGCAAAATTACTACATTACTCTCACATGTCAGTCCTGATGGAAAAAAAAAACAACATTTGAGCTAACCATTACAAGTAAATGTGAATCTCAGATTTGATAATTATCGGCCGAATTTTATTCACTTATTATTGATCGGCGAAAGTAAAAAATAAAAACAAGTGTTCCCTGTAATAATTATAAGAATAAGTAGGGGTTCAAATATTCTTTCGTATATATATATATATATATACCTTTACACTAATGTTGGGTTGGACAAAATAGTGGAAACACCTCTGAATTTCTATTAATGCGAAGTTGGTCCAGAACAACCATACATTACAACATTAACGCGATGAGAAATTGATGAAACAAGGTGTTGTCCATGAAACAATGATATTTTGACCACTCGTGTATCAAAGCGTTTTCTACTTGTTGAAGCCTGCTTCTAAATTTGGTTTCAAGAACTGACTATTGATATTTGATACCATTTTAAATCTGGTAACTGTGATAACCAGGTTTGGTGCCAAATATCTTCCTCTTGAGCCAATCTTCAACAATTCTAGCAGTACGAACTAGTGCATTGTCTTCCTGAAACAGAGCAGCTAAGCTTGGGAATAAAGTGTTCATCACAAGATGAGCCTGCTCTGCAATATGGTTTAACAAAGCAATCATCAGCAATAATCGAGCAAATAGGCCTCGAGATCTTCCAACCAAAACTATTAACAACGTCTTGGAGTACCCACTGTGCTTTGATGACATAAAAATTTAAGGTTGTAAGCTCCTACTTGATGAAAAAAAAAATGGTAAAACATTATTCCTCTGTCCAACTTATATTTTCTGGGCACCATTTTACTTGGGCATTTGCGTTTGTTTGGTGTTATTAGAGGTTTCTGAACGGCAGCCCTTCCATAGTAGGCCTTCGAGATGTTTTGACAGAGGTTGGTTATTGTAGCCTAACGTTAAGTTCTGCGTACATTTTGAACGTTGTAATCTTAAATTGGTTATTGTAGCCTAACGTTAAGTTGTGCGTACACTTTGAACGTTGTAATCTTAAATTGGTTATTGTAGCCTAACGTTAAGTTGTGCGTACACTTTGAACATTGTAATCTTAAATTGGTTGTTGTAGCCTAACGTTAAGTTCTGCGTACACTTTGAACGTTGTAGTTTTTTACGTTCGTCTTTGCGCCCATTTGACACATTCTTTATTCCAGTTAAGTCGGACAAATCGCCATTTTGAGGGTAAGCCGTAAAATAGCCGTTTTGAATGTCAGTACCGTTTGTTATGGGCTAACATCCAAAGGCATTGCCGCTAGTTTTGGGCTTATTTTTCTCGCGAGACTTGGCAACACTGCCATCCTCATCCATCGAGATCGTCCATTTACATTTCTCGACCACTATTACGTTTGTCTGATGAGTGGTTTTATTTCTCTATATTGAAAGCAGTAGTATCCTATTATTACACAAACATATTCAAGAGTATAGAATAAATCAATGCACAGTTAAGTTACCATATGGCTATACTCCTGTCTTATTGAAGACTCCAAAACCTGGAGTTAAATAGGTGAGAGAGTTGTTTCCAAATATATTGTTCAACCGTTGTGTGTATATATATATATATATATATGTATAAATCAATCACTAGTTCGAGTACTACACATTCCATTAGGCCCGGCATGGGCAGGTGATTAGGGCGCTTGACTCGCAATCTGAGATGCGTCAGAGTACGTATGTAGTTTAAACTTTACACTCCTTCTTTGAAAAAAGTAACCCATGAAATATTTGGTAAATTTAGAACAGTATTTAAAATACAACAGATTAGATCGTTAGTAAATTTAGAACGGTATTTATAAGACAATTAATCTTAAGTAGTGGTATTTATTTGTTTAGTTTTGTGTCCAAACTAATTTTTGTTCAGATGTTTTGCCCTCGTGTGTGTAACTGGTCAACAAATTAATATCTTATATACAGATAGAAAGTTGTTAAATGAATAACACCTCAGTAAAGTAATAAAAAATATATGTTCTAATTAATGAGTATTAGTATATAACTCTTAAAAGTGTCGTTTTAACAGAAATTGCCCTGTAGCAGAGTTTTGAATTTCGGAGCAGGCGAGTTGGGTTCGAATCCGTCCGATACCACAAAACATTCTTCGCACTTTAAACTGTGGGTGCGTTATAAGAATGACAGTCAAACTCTTGCCGTGTATTATGGGTGGTAAGTCGTTGCTGAGTGGATGTCTTCCCTCTGGTCAATAGTTCAATATCAGGGACGGCGACAGATGACCTTAGAAGCTTTACCATATATTCAAGTACAAATTCTACGTTATATATGAGAAAAAAAAAACACTTGCATTTACATCTCTGCCTCTTAAGAAAACATCCAGGCTTATAGTTGTTGCCATTATGAATCGCCTGTGTTGTATTTGTGGCATTCAGAGTTTACGGAACATTTCAATGGGACAAGACGAACAAAAAACTTTTTCTTTGAATTTGGATTTTCTGAAGCACTGGAATAGAACCAATTCTCAATTTCTTTTTTTCTTTTTTTTTGTTATTGTGATACATCCGCAGTACAGCTCTTGGTTCCTCCGCGGGGCGTAATTCCCGGGTAGTCTTACGGGCGTAACAAAGCATGTTTACCAGTGTGGGAACACTATTTGAAAATACAGACAGGACAAGATGCACTTCGACCTCTCGAGCAGCTGTGACTTATGGACACCTTTAGCTGGGTTCCACTTCAGCTTTGAAAACTTATACAGGAACACCCTTTTTCTTGCGGGGAGGTCTTACTAAAATATTGTTTTTATTATTATTTACTAGGGTTTCTGTAAGCGAAACGCTGTTTTAGATTAAGAAGAAAGAAATGTCCTATCTCATTAATGACAAGGAACTTAAATAACACAGACTCATAAAACTCTAACTCGGCGAATTTAAAAAATCTAAATTAATTTGTTTGTAGTTGCGCACAAAGCTACACAAAGGGCTATTTGTGCTCTGCCCACGACGGCTTTCGAAACCCGGTTTCTAGCGTTGTAAGTCCGCAGACATACCGCTGTGCCACTAGGGGGCCTTTAGTATTAAAAAAAATAATAATTGTATCCGCCATTTTTATTTTGTTTTTAACAATGCGACACCTAGCGTGACCTACACTAACACGTTTTACGGTTAGAAACCTTAAAAAAAAGGAGAGAGACGAGAACGTCAGTGATAATAATTTTTTGATTTAGACGACTGGAATTATTTTAAACACCCAGTCAAGCATGAAACTAAATAAAACCGTACTAAATAAAACAACTCCAGATTCATTATCTGTAACGAACTTTTACTCAGATTAAAAAAAAAACTAAATTCACGAGGCATCATTGCGCATATATAATAATGCATAATTTCCATCAAGTATGAAACTATATGGAGTAGCCATACCGTACCACGTGTGTAACAAAAACACATGTGCGAAACTCTTATCTCAACATTTTTTTTTTTTTTATGCTTTGAGACAAGTTACACGAATTTATACAAACACAC